GATGCACTTAGTGAGTGGAAAGATCAGGTACAGCAATTAAAGCATTTGCAGCTGGTATGAAGCAGGAAAAAGTATTCACTTTCTGTTATTCGTGTTGTAATTTCAAGGCCTGCTCCTCTGCTGAAGAACGCCCAGTTATCTGACTCCAAAGTCCGAGAGCTGTACCTGCAAATCATCCAGTACATGAGAAGAATGTACCAAGATGCCAGACTTGTTCACGCAGATCTCAGCGAATTTAATATGCTGTACGTTTTCAAACTCTGGTGTGAATTGTGACATCTCATATACATGTGTTGGCAACCTCTATGGGAGAGTACTAATCTACCTTTAAGGGAGGGTGGAGTCCTTTTTGTGACTTGGTTTTGTAACTTCATGTAATTAATTATGTAGCTTTCAACCCAGATCTGAGCTTTCTCTGTTTAAAAAATAACAACACACAAAACCCCCGGAAAAATCCACAATAAAATCCACAAGCAAACAAAAAAACCCTCAACCAGACAAAAAACTAGGAGAATATCTTTTTTTTTGTATTTTTTTTTTCTTTTTCTGCCTCCACACATCACACTGCTTATTGTGTTCACGAGAAGACTATTTCTTTGAAGTTTAATAATACAGCTTCCATAGAGGAGGGAAAAGATTGACCCAATAAAAACCACTCTGGCCCTAATATGTGAAGTGTATGCTACAGAAATATCTTAAGATATTTCTGGTTTGCTGGTTTTTAAGTGTGAAGCACACTTCGTTCCCTGCTCCTCAGTAGCCTCCCATATAGCAGTGGTGGAGTCAGGGCAGCTCTGTGTGTCTGTTTTGCAGGTACCACGGCGGGGACGTGTACATCATCGATGTCTCTCAGGCCGTGGAGCATGACCACCCGCACGCACTGGAGTTCCTGCGCAAGGACTGTGCCAACGTTAATGGTGAGTGGGCTGCACTTCCGCTCTTGTTCTGGTAGCTGCTTTATTTAGGGAGGTGAACTGTGTTCACCCGTCTTCTTTCAGGTATAACTGACTAGAGAAGCTGTCAAACTTCCGTTAAAATACTCTCCTAGGTTCTTATGGCTTCCTGAGGGAGCAGTGTGCTGTGCCGAGCTCAGAAGAGCGTGGCCTGTTTTGCTAGAAATCATTTGGCTGAAATGGGTCTCAGATGTACAACAGATCCGAGATCAGGCCCAGACTGATGCGAGATCAGTCTCAGTCTGCAGCAGCGCCCACCTCAGTCCCACCTCCCTCACTAAAGGACAGCGTAGACATACTAATGTGTTTCCTTCTGTGAGTGGAATCCACATCTGGAATTCCTCAGCTGGCAAGAAATTACCCTGTGTTATGAAGTTCCCTGCACGCACTTGTCCAGATCTGCTGAGAGGATTGAGGCATAGAGTAATTTGTTGGAGATGTTATCGCTTGTCATAGTGTTTTGATAAACAAGGTACCTTTATGGTATTTTTCTCTTGAAAGTTTGGTCTTTGTGTGTGATTATGCATGTTGTGTAACAGATACACGCCTCCTGGTAGGGCGTGTTTCTCCCTGAGGACAAGAAATCTGTCACTGCAGGCTGCTTTTGTCCCCACTGTGTTTTCAGATTGAATTTTTACTAATTTTATAGACACTTTTGAAAATCTGTGGGAAAAGAACTATGTGCGTTTTGATGCTCTGTGTTTGTTGATACCCAGCATGCTAGTTTTAACTTATTCCTTTTCCATTTATGGATTTCTAATAACTCTCTTCCAGCTCAGATACTTGAGCCTTTCCTCTTTTATCATGTCTTTTGGCTTGCTCTCCCTAGATATTCAAGTGCCTCAGTGAACAGCAGTGGTTTGGACATGTTTGTTTGTTTGTTTTGTCTCTGCAACTTTCTCCGTTTAGTTCTCCTACAGAGACTCTGAGACACACCTTGGTTTATGCTCTGCCCTAGCTGTGATGATTGCAAAGACATGTGGTTCCATGGGCAGAGAGCTGCCTCCAAACTAAGTTTTTTTGTTGTTCTTTCTATGATTAAATTCTTACAGTGAGAGATCTTCGGAGAACTTAAGTAGCAGTCCTCAGTGTCTTTCACTGCTGTTTTTCAGTACGGAAGTGCAGCTTCCAAATTTGGTAATACTTGACTCAAGAAACCAAATCCGAGTGTAATATTGAGGAAGATTCTAATACATTAACGTGTCTTCCCTTTTAGGTGGATCATAATTAGGCTGTTTGGTGTTTCAGTGGATACTTCTGTTTCTCTTTGGTGAAAGCTTGAGGTCTCCATTTCTTATTCTTTGAAATACATTTTTCCTCTTAGTCGTTGCAAATACTACACCTGTCTTAAATTGTTTACTTCTTAGCCTCTACTCCATAAAGTCTGTCTGTTGCCGAAACTGATTTGGCTTTAATATTTATCCAGCTAAATCCTTTCAGTGTTTGTTGCATCTGGAGGATGAACAGTTTTATTTCAGGTGACCAGGAGTCAGTTGGTAACTAAGCCCAGTATGTGCTGCTGAGACTCCCATGTCATCAGGGCGATTAGCTTGCTGAAACTGTCACTTTAACATCACAGCTGCAAATGTTATGTGTAATTACTTACGGTTTTTGTCTCCGCCCTTGTTTCCTGGTAGACTTTTTCCAGAAGCACAATGTTGCAGTGATGACTGTGAGGGAGCTGTTTGAGTTTATTACTGATCCTTCTATCACAAGTGAGAACATTGATGACTATCTGTCTAAGGTAAGAAGGATGTCATGGCTTTGTTGCTTGTGTAGGAAGACTTGAACAATAAAAGCAGATCCAGTTCAAGCTCCTTTGTCTCGTTTACTCTACATCCTGCTATTGAAGGAAGTTGGTACATGACGTTATGTTATGCTACTGCTTCAAAAATGCATACAAGTCTCTTCCATTTATACTGTTAAAGGATGACAACGCTTTCATTCTGTGTTTTCTCAAAAAGTCTAATCACAAAAACTCAAATATTTCAGGTGCTATTAACAACAGGATGCTTTAAATTAGTGCTTTCTTTTTGTCAAGGAGAAGCTCTGCAGAAATATAACCATGCTTATATAGAGCAGGGTTAAGAATGCAGATTTGAGCAGGGTGGGCTGAGGGAGGAAGGGAATAACTCAGGGCACCGTTACTCCAGGGTGCATGGTCTTACTCGCCAAATATAGGGGCTGGCAGAACACATTGATTCTAGCAGGATTTAAACTTACTCAGTGGTGCTAACAACACCTGTGTATTTCATCTCTACCTGCCAGTCCTCTGCTCCTAGTTAGATGTTTCTTTAAAAAGGGAGAAGGGGAAAAAAAGCTAATGCAAGAGAAATGAGAGCCACACATGCCATGCCCAGAGTGGAGATTTGATGCGTCATTCCTGGTCAAGACCATGTGAGTGTGGTCCAAATACCAGTACGGCACGAGGATTTCCAGATGTTGTGTACTTTGTCATACTGGAGGCTGAATGAGACAGAGCTGTGCTATGTGGTTCCCCTTACTTGTGCTCCTCTGGTTTGCTCAATGTGTGCAAGAAGAGCCAAATTCCAGGACTGGACACTGCTCACTGTGTTCTCCTTGTGCTGTTCTGTCCTGTAGTCATGCTGGGCTGGCCATAATTTGGTCTGGGATGAGCAACAAGCATGTTTTCCTTCTATTAATACAGCAGATCTGCAGTTCTGAGTGTGCTTGGCAGAAACGTTGGTTGCCATTAGGTGTCACTCAAGGCATTGCCGTAGGTTACGGAGTATTTTGTGAGTGATGGTGTGGCTACAGGCAGAAACACAGATGGGAACGGTTAGTTGGATTAAGTGATGCGATTCTACAGAGTGATAACTTTGTATCATTTTACTTCTCTTTAGGCAATGGAAATAGCATCGAAAAGAACAGAGGAGGAAAGATCCAGTCAAGATAAAGTGGATGAGGAAGTAAGTGAGGATTTTTCTTCCTGCTATGAAATCAATGTTAACCTCACCTCTACTAAACAATGAAAAACATTCTGTTTTATTTGGCAAAGTGTACAGTTGATAAACAAAACGTTGTTTGTGGTACTGAGATATCTTGAACTAGTTGGGATGTGAAGTACTAAGGGATGCCAAGTGTAAAAGCTGACAGTGATAAAGTGTTAGAAGGCAAATACTCCTTCCTAAACCAGTATGTTTGCTTGTAGCTAGGTCCCTTGATGTATCTTCCAGTTCAGGTTCAGCTGGAAAAAAAAAAAATGAGTGGAGAGATGTGATTATGCCAGTATTTTTGGACCAGTGATACAGAAGCAGGATATCTGGACAGGTAATTTGGTCAGTGCACATATCTAGGTCCAGTCTCAGTCTAATTCTGTTCTTCCCTGTGCTGTTTCTTTCCCTCACTTTTACATTAAGTGAAGCCATTTCAAGTCCATTACAGAAAACTGCTAATGTTCTGGAAAGACCTGATGTCAAGATAAATGATTTCTGTCGTCGTATCTGCCTGTTCCAGAAGAATTTAAAGAAACCCCAAACAACCAACACCAAAAAAACAACTCTGTGTTGGGCAGAACTTGTATCAGTGAGAACCTATTTGTACTGGTTCACATGGTGTTAATCATTGGAGTCAATACTACTTGATTTGTCAAAGACTTCTTTTTCTTTTGGAGCTCTGCAGGCTTTACTAACTGCTCTGGCTCAAGCTTGGCCAAGGAAAAGAGTTTTTTGTTTGTTTGTTTCCTAAGATATCCTCGGCATACAGCTCTGAACTGCAGGGTCAGATGCTAGTGTTTTGTTGCAAGGCCATCTTTTGCAAACCCATTATTTCTTTGCTTATATAAAGGTACTGACCTGTAAGAGAGATGGTTTAGTAGCACCTAAGTTCAGTTTATTTCTCTTAGACTTCTTGTGTGACCATGACTGGTTTGTGTCACTTCCTTCACAACAGAGTCGAGCTGATTAAGGGCAAGCTGTGTGGAGGTGGGCGCCTCTGCTCTTTGCACAGCATGTAGTCTAGTGGTTATGATTGTGAAGTGTGCTGAATTTGTACTGTGATTGAACTGGTACCACCAAAAAGAGAAGCAAAACACTTCTGTCTGATCTGGTAGTGACTTAATTTGATGGAGGACTGTTTCAAAGAGACTGCAGGATGAGTTTTAAGTATGTTGTTGATACTGATGTTAGGTTTTGCTGCACTATGCTGCTGCAGGAACCTTTGAGCTGGACTGTAGGTTGAAGCAGGTATTACTACGTAAAGAGATGAAGTTCTAACTGCATTTTAATGTGGTGGTTGCCTCCTGAAGGCATTGTAAACATCACAATAAAAATATTAGAGAAAATCCTTTGAATATAAAGCCTTAGGACTCAAATAAGTTAAGAGGAAGCTGGATGGACTGGAGGGGTTTGTAAGTGGCCTGGTGGCAGTGATGCAAAGAGAGGAGCCGTATTAGTTGTGATCTGTCAATAATGTGTAGGTTGCATGTTAAGTCTGCTCCTGGAAAAAAAAAAAAAGTGCTGCAATTCAAATGGTACTGGGTGATTGCTATGTTCATTTTTAGTTTCTGAGCCATGAAATCCTTCATGATTTTTCTTTTATGGATACATAATTAGGAAGGAAGAACGCCATGAAACTATGTGTAAATGAGTAAGTCTGTTTCCTTTCACTCTACTAGGTGTTTAAGAAGGCTTACATACCTCGAACTTTGACTGAAGTCAAAAACTACGAGAGAGATGTGGATATAATGATGAAATTGAAAGAAGAGGATATGGCATTGAATATTCAGCAAGATAACGTGAGTAGACACACTGAGGCACTACAAAAAAGAGAGAGGGATTATGAATTCTACTTAGTTGGAAACTGATAGCAACAAACAAAACCAGAAGCCTTGTTACCAAGGTGTGGAGTACTGAATCTAGTATCATACTTCAAAATCATCTGGTTAGTACTGATGCTAACGTTGTGGGCTTTTTTCCTGGTTGGGTGTTTCATGTTTTGGGGTTTGTTTTTTTTTTTTGATAATGATTTTCTCTGAGCACAAAGATTGAAGATTCATATTTTGATAACATAATTTTCTCTCTCTCTCTCTGGTTGTAGATTCTCTACCAGACTGTGACAGGACTGAAGAAGGATTTGTCTGGTGTTCAGAAGGTGAGAGGGTCTTTTTGAAATCCTTCGTTTTAGCAGTTTTTGGAAGAGCACTTACATGGAGTGCACAGAATGCACAGCTGACCCCATGAGAGGAGCCTCCTGTCTGCAGAGTGACTATTTATGTCCGGCATGGATCTGACGTGACAGCATGTCTGCACACCACGTGTCCCTACACTGTGGCTGATCCTGGCTTCCTTGAGAATGAAACGATAATCCTTGCTATGGCCATGACCTCTAAAGTTAAGGTGAAGAGGAGTGAGGATGTTTTCCAATTATGGAAAATATAGTTGATTTAAATTGTAGCATTACTACAAGTTTTGATGTGTTCAGGGTAGCTCTGCTGTAGGTATTGTGTCAAGAACAACCCTGCAGCATAAGGCATAAGATACTATGACTGACATATTTGAAGTACTTGACAGTGACACTTCTGTAAAGATATGTTGGATAAGAAGTTCAGTACAAATCAGTCTGTAGCAATATGATGGAAGCAGTGGATTCTCCTCCTTCCTTTCTAAATGTTGTCTCGCAGTAGTGTAGACTCTGTTTTAAAATGGAAATATAAATATGGATGGATTAGGCTGTGGCATAGTCTCCAGGCTTGTTTAAGAATAAGTGAGTTTTCCAGTGTGGATATTTGTGTTTGCAATGAAGCCTACATCCAGTGCCTCCAAGGTAGATTTGGGTATGATCCAAGTATAATTAAAAATCGACTTCCACATATGTTAATGAATCGCTATTTAACTTATGGAAATGAGTTTGGGAGTGCCAGTAGAGCTGTGCTGTAAGTCCTGACCTAAAAGATTCTGTGTTGTGCATTCTAGATTCCTTGTTCTTAGTTTGGATTAACCTGCTTTTCATTCTTTTTCTTGAGACTTGGTGATGGCTGTAGTAAAGGAGATGGCACAAACTCGCTCAAGGGTTTCTTCACAGCAGATTTTGGTTTTTTTTTTATATATATATACACACATATATGTGTGTTTGTATATGTGTGTGTACGTTGTCGTTAGGCTGCTTCAATTTGATATCATTCTCTCTTCATGTGTCTTGCAGATTCCTGCACTTCTTGAAAAGAAGTCAGACGAGTCAGAAACAGATTATGATGATGATGATGATGGTGACTCAGAGGACTCTGATTCGGGCTGTAAAGAGTCTGTACATCCCAAAGATAAACCTGCTGAAGTTAGCATGGACAAAAAGGTCAGCTGGCCAGGAATTGTTTTTCCTACATCTGCCTATGTGACAGGAAAAAATCCAAACTTGCTGCTTCTTGTCTGAAACAGGCTATGGACTTTTCCTTTTGTGGGGAATGAGAGCAGAGAAAGTGAATTTCATTATGGGTACTTTAGATGCTTTTATGTAGAGGAACATGTAACATAGCTCTCTGTAGCCTAGACAAAGCTAGAAGAGAGATCTCTGCAGGGAATTCTAAGGCTACACAAAGCAGAATTTAGCAAGGCCAGAGTGGCTCTTCAGTGCCTGTGGCTACTCTTCCGGGCTTTGGTGTTCAGGGTTGTGGTCATGGTTCCCTATTAATCCCCTTTTGCCAAGGGAACCAAGACCACTTGATCTATGTGACTGAAGGCTTGGTGACAATGTTTGTACCGTGGTGGCTTTTGCAGTAACATTAGTGCAGACTGGCTAGCTTTGCTGTGGGCAAGAGATTTAGTGCAGTCATGCAAAGAGATTATGGTTTGGGGAGGTTTTTTTAAGGTTTCATTTTCCAAACTGCCAAACAAATATACTCTGTTTTGGTGAGGCATTTCTGCAGAGTATCACCCATGGCTGAGAGCCTTTTGGCAGCCCTTTAGGTGCTGTGCAAAAGAAGGATGAAGCCTGCTGGGCTTCAGGGGTTCAAGATTTGGGGTTTTTCTTGTTAGATTTTTCTTCCTAGAAAAGGTTAGATAATGTATTCCATATCCATCAAATAAAAATGCAGCGCTGTACTAGACACTTTCCACCAATCTAGAGCTGCTGCCTCTCAGATGTGAAGCAGGGAAGCCTTGGTCACTTTTCATCCTTATGGATATGTTTTCATTTGGACTTCTTTTTGTGTGAGTAAGATGAGGTTTTTGGTAACCTGTGTGTTCAGCTGTAGGTTAAACAACTGATAAACAGCAATTACTGCAACCCCCCATCCCATTATGTTGACTTTGCGTTTTCCAGTTGAGTGTGGTCTCTTCACTGTGGCACAGATTGCAGTGTATTGCAGTAGCATAGCACCCTTTCTTGCCAATCCTGATGATGACCAGCTTGCTCTAAGTTGCCAGCAGTCACTGGATCGATCAGTATTTTTCCATGACATAGAAACACATACTATAATATCCCTGTAGGGAGCAGAAAACCTAGATCAGGCATCCTGTTGTAACCCTACGTGTAAATAGCATGAGTTAAGAGTGCCTCCTGTTCTCTTTTTTCAAAGGTTGCACGAAACTCAGGTTTTAACTAGTTTGACTTTTGCTTTGTTATTACCAATGTGCAGCTCTTAGCTCCGCCCCCAACCTGTACTTCCTTTGTCCTTTCCCCTCACCATTCCTTTGATTTTTTAATTTTTTTTATTTATTTCTTCCTCTTGATAAAAATGAGGTTATGTGGTGTGTTAATTAACTTGTTAATGTAACAATTGATTGACCTGCTCAAAATCTCTCATTCCTTCTGGCTTTAAATGAATGGTGTTTGGTTCTTTATAGGAAAGGAAAAAGATGGTTAAAGAAGCCCAAAGAGAGAAAAGAAAAAACAAAATCCCAAAGCATGTGAAGAAGCGGAAGGAAAAGACTGCAAAAATGAAGAAAGGCAAATAAAATCAGCTTTGGCTTGGGGAAAGGGATGGTTTTTATTTAGTTACCATCTTTTTTTTTTTTTAAAATTAAAATCCTGTATTTATATACTTTATTAACTGTGAGGGTGGTTTTGTTAATAACGTGGTGTAATTGTTCGAATAGAGTATATGCCAAATGGAAAGAATGAATTTGATGGTTATGCATGCTAAAAATCCTTTACCTGTGCATGTTTAACCTGTTGTTAAACTCGCATGGATTTGTTCCTGGGGTCTTAGTCCCTTGCCTCACTCTGCATACAAGCTAGCTCGGTTTTTGTTCTAGAGCAGTGATTTGGTTCAGACAGATTCTTGGAGGAGGGGGAATGTGATTCCAAGGCCCATGCCTTCGTCGCAGCATGGAAGCACGTTGAGCTAGCTGTCCTCCTCAGGCTGTCACGGTCACCCATGGATAACCTTGCAAGCATTGTGCCTCTGCTGCCTCCCTGTGCTTGCATCACCTTTGATGTTTTCTTACTGAAAGCTGAGTTTTGTGATTTGGGAGGCAGCTGTCCTCATTGCCCAGTGCCCTTCTGAAGCAATCAGGCAGGTGTACCCAAACAGACCAAAGCCTGACTTTTTATTTTTTCTTGGATCCCAAAGTAGAGCACTGTTGCTCTTAAGACTATTACGAACCAGCTATTTTGTAAGCTGGTCAAATGAGCATTTGCTGTCACGTGTGTTCCAGTTCAAGGCTGTGTGAAGGCTTGTGGCAGGACCTCTCGGTGTTACAGCTCAGCATTACCAGTCCGTGTTGCACTGAGGTGTCCCAGCTCTTTATTAGGGAGAAGCTGGCAGAGCTCTGCTCGCAAGTGACCCACTTGGGCTGGGCAAAGGCGCTATACTGAAGACAGTCCACCTTCTCTCTGGGCAGCTACTTTGACCGCTGAGGCTGACAAGTCTTGGGAGAGGTGTCCTCCTCATGCTGTAGCACATTAGCAACTGCCTGCAGTTTCAGAACTCCCTGTGTCAGCACAGAGAAAGGTTCTGGCTCCAGTAAATGTCTTGATATGTTCTCCCATGTTAGGGGTGGAGTTGATCCCCTGAGGATTTATGCTTACAGGACATACATCCTCTGATGACAGAGGACAGCTTTTATGCATCAGTGGATATCCAACAATGATAGGTTGGGCAGGGGCAGGGTGAACCTTCCTTCCCTCTGCTCCTCACCTATCACACACAAAAGAGCGATGATATTGGCCAATTGCACATGTGGTTGCACTCCCCAGTTTGACCTTCGTAACCTCTTTGGTGCCTTTGACTAGAAATCCAGTAAGAGAGGAACTGGTCAATGCTTCCAGATCTCTCTCTGTGCTCCCTTTCTCCCTATCCATACAGGGATTGACAGCACTCTCATGTGCGGTATACATGTAAGTGTAGACAGGCTGAAGCATGTTGGGAAGCAAGACTGTTATTTCCTCAGCAAGTGGGGGTGTTTGTTTTGGAGACCAAAATGAAATATCTGCATTTTGGAAAAGGGCATTACATGAGGTGCAAGAAAGGGAACAGCCTCTAACTTGGTAGTGAAGGGAGGAGGAGGTGCAAGACCTACATCCGGAGGTGAGGGAGTACTGTTGATGGCCGTTTGTCTTAACGCCAAGGGCTGAAATGCTGCTAGAGGTATGGAGATGTTATTTCCTGCTTTTCCTTGCTATCATGGGAGCTTGTGTAGTGACACAATGGGGCAGAGGTGGCCTTGGTGATGGCTGCCCCAAACTGGACTGGTTGTCTTCCTTGGTGTCGTGCTGAAGGTGACTGAAACAATAACAGCGTTGTGGACTTTGCCCTTGAAGTCTCATTGTATCAGGGATTCTTCCTGCCGACTGACAAGGCTCTGGAATATGTGTCTGCAATGGCAGATGTGGTTCATGAATGTGTGCGCACCAGGAAGCGTACTGGGGGGGTGCTTGTGCCCAAGCTGTTGCCTTTCTCCAGAAACAGGTTGTGCATTGGGCAGAGCTCCGTGTTTTTGGTGAAGTGAGCCAAGCGTAAGTGAATCTTGAAGATGCTGTGTGTGCTTTAGCATTGTGTAGCTCAGCAGTGGATGACTCCACCAGGAAACTGGTCCATGGCCGATCAGCCATGGAGTCAGGGGTTGTGGGACACGAGAGACAACCTTCTTTTCATTGAGGCTGGATGCTAGTTCTTGGCAAAGAGCTTGGAAGCCCCAGAGCGTGTGTCCCACTGCAGGGTGTTTACCTCCTTTACCTGAGGAAATACTTCAGAGAAAGGAGGCTGCTATCATCTGTGCTTGAGGGAAGAGGAGATGTCCCAGCCCACTTAACCTTGTCTTCCCTCTGGGCCGTGCACCACAGCCTGATCAAGTTTGCCTAGCTCTAGCCGTCCTGTAGCGTGAAGGTGGTCCCGAATCAGTCATTTGGGATTAGAGCCTTGCTCGGGATGATGTGCGGCAGGACTGCCTGTGCAAAGCATGAGCTGTCTGCCTCGGGTGTGTTCTTCAGGGTACGCTTACGTGGTTCGGGTGTTGGGCATGCTCCACCTCCAGTGCTCCACAGAAGAGCCTGCGTTGTGTGAGTGAGCATGGCCGTTGCGGGCTTGGGAAGCGTAGGAGTGAGGCAGCCCACAGGAACAGGGGGGACTGGGAGATGAGCCATCTTTCTGGTGATCCCTGAAGCAAGACAATGGCCATTTAGAAGTGTTACGTGTAACTACCAAAAGGCACCGGTCTGATAGAGGGTGGGGAGGATGGGAATGGGATGGCATGACTTTGTATCTTGAGCTAGAGAAAAAGCATCAAAGTAGCAGCACAGGATACTCATTTATGCTCTTATTGATATCCATGTACAATGAGGTTGGGTGACCCCCACCCCAGAGGATCCAACAAGGCCCACTCGTTTTGTTTGCTGTCACAGCATGTTTATGGTGTGCCCTGCTGCTGGCACCTGTGCAGACAGAGTTAGGAACACCAGCACCTTGTACAAGAAGAACTGGGACACAAACAGCTCAAGGTAATGCTTCCTCTTTATCTTCCATACTCTCTCTGTGCCACACATACACACATTCCCCACCCTCCCACCACCCCAAAATTGCACTTGCTGGTAGGGCTCAGGAGTCTCTTGAGGGCCAAGCCAAGTGTGTCCGTCGTGGAGCTCACCTGATGGCACACTGCACAAGCAAACAGACGCTGGGGAGGTGGGCTGTGGGATAACGGGTGGGCTGTGGCTCCTGGAGATGACCCTGAGAGGTTACTGCAGCGATGAGGCTGAATCGTGGGGGTGTGACACCTGCTCCTAAGACTGAGAATTCCCTTCTGTTGCCTGCAAACCTGTTTCTCCTCCACTGCTCCATGGGTGTTCCAGTGTCAAAATGGAGCATCCAGATTATTAACTGTTTTTTCCCCCCTTTTGAACAAGAACATCTGTACTGAGGTCATGGCATAAACTCCATTGCTTTGTCACTGTGGCTTTGGGAATGTTTCTGCAAGCAAGGCTTTTTGTATTGTCTGATGTGTTTTTTTTCAAAGCACAAATGGTTTGTAATCTGTCTTCTCTGAAAATGGTATGAATTCGTACAGCTGCAAAAGTGCAGTTGACTGTCAACTGCTTTAACACTCCTTTCTGGCTAGAGTAGAAATGCTAAACATCTGCAATACCCCTTGGGAAATCAAAGCTCCTATAGGTAAGATTTTCAATGGGAAAATGATTTCATAGATTTTCTAGGTTGGAAAAGACCTTAGAGATCATCCAGTCCAAGCGTCCCTAATCTCCCATTAAACCATATCCTTAAGTAGTTCATCCACCCTTTTCTTAAACACATCCAGGAATGGGGACTCAATCACCTCCCTGGGCAGCCTATTCCAGTGGCTGACAACCCTTTCAGAGAAGAAGTACTTTCTAACATCCAACCTGAATCTCCCCTGACTAAGCTTATACCCATGATGTTATATTTTAATTTAAGGAACATGTAGGTTTCAAGCTGAAGACAAAACTTGTTTGACCAAATTTTAAAACTTGACGTGCTGCCTGCAGCTCTGGTCTCTGCATCACCAAGATGGCACAAGGAAGAGCGTTTTTAGGGGATGGAGCAGCTGCCTTGTGAGGAGGGGCTGAAAAGGCTGAGTGAGACTCCTCCATTTGGAGAGGAGAAAGCAGAGCAGGGAGGTGAGAGGGGTTTAAGAAATTGTGAAAACAGCAGACGAAACGAGTGCAGAAATGCTCTCAGCAAACCCTGCAAATAGTGGAGCTAAGGGGAACTAGCTGGAACCAGTGGAGGATTGGTTTAAAACAGGCAGGAGGAGGCACTTTTCATAGAGGGGCAGGCTCTTGGGTGGGTTGCAACAGGGTGGTGCTTGTGTTTGCACAGCAGGTAAGCGCGGGCTGAAAATTAGCTGCCTAATCTGACATTAACGTTAAGTTTGTTACTTTTTTTTTTAATTATTTTTTAGAACAGGCTGAGCGTATGAAAGAGATCAAATTCTCAAGCACAGGTGAGATGCTTGGAAAAACGGACTTCTGGGAATTTGCAGCCAAAACATGTAGTGATATTTGAAAGCTTAAGGATGTAGAGTGGGAGTATTTATAACTCTATGAAAGATAAAAACATACAAAACTAATTAATTCTATCTTGCAGGGCATTCCCAAGTAGTCTCATCTTCCCAGTTAGCCACTGGGACTCAGTGGGAGAGGACTGGGAGGGAGATACTCCTAGGTAAGATATGCTAGGTTCCAAGACAGTGCATCAGTGAGGTGTTGGAGTTCTGGCTTTTGCTTTTTTTTTCACCCCACTCCATCTCCCTGAAATCCCACAGTGCCGTACGGTATGTTTGCGCTCAAGCAGCTGGCGTCAGGCTCCGTCTCTGTTCCCAGGTCTGTGCCAGGATGGTATCCATTTGTTGCTTCTTCCACAGTGTAGATTTTGTTATATGTAGCAAGAGAAGCATGAGAAGGTGGAGGTTTGTGGATTTGGTTTCCCTGTGATGAAGCCAGTAAAACCAGCTTTGTGTGTAAAGATATGTCTCCTTAGAGG